GAAGAAAACATGAAATTAAGGTACTGCAACTTGTAAAAATGTTGGCTAAAACCCGTCTTAGCTACTGCAGTGAACAGTTGTTTTCACTTCAACTAAAGCCACATTATTCACAGTATTTATTCAAACCAGCAGGAAATGCTCTCCAAAGTCTTTGCTGTATTCCTGTATGATCATTGTCCTTACTGATAATTGGTTTGGGAGTTTTGAAAAAATATTGTCATTCTTTACAAAAAAAATAAACACCGTATAAAAGTGTTAAGTTAACATTTTTCTTATTGTCCAGGAGACGGCGACGTCGCATCAGCAGTGAGCACATTTTGATTTATTATATTCTGACCTGTTTCCATGTTACAGAGAATCTAATGTTGCTTCACCGTCTGCTGTGTTCTTCTTTCTTCAGCTAAAGTGAGATTTTAAAAACACAAACAAAAAAACAACCATAATATTAAAAAAGTAAAATAAAAAAATCGACCTGACGTAAAACAAAACTTCAAAATCAAAGTTGTGTTTTTTGTGGCGGCGGACACGCGCAGCGAGATCGTACGTGCGCGCTTCCGTAAAGCAGTGACAAAGATGGCGGTCGCCGGATCAGGTAAGCCGACTTCACCGACACTTTACACAGTATGTTGTTGTTCGTTTTCTTATCGGGGTACACTTTCCAGCACACCACAATAGCGACGCAGTAGTTTGACAGTTTCACACCGTTCAGCTGCAGCGAAGTTTTAACCTCAGCGGGACTTCGGGGGAAAGAAAATGCTGTCACCAACGCTGCTAGCTAGCTAGCTAGATGGCTATCAAACCTGGCCCACAGTCTTTAAAGCAGCACACGACCATCTGCATCTACCTCGGTATACCTTTATGTAGCTTACCGGCCAGAGAAAACACTGAGGTATGATTATAGCCACACAATAAATCACAGTTTCCAGGGGTATTGGTGGGGTATTATGTTCGCAAGGCGGTGACGCCCGTGACTAGCTTGATGGGTAGCTAGATAAGTTGATTGCTCAGATGTCGTTAGCTGGCAGCTCAAATCGGAGTCGTTTTGGAGGAAATACTCAAAAGTAGCCGTCAGTAAAAACCTGAAACAAAGTGTTAGTACTCAACGCAAGCTCGAAAACAGTCTAGCTGCATATTAAATATGGAAATTCCTCGTCAGGGGCACGTGTTTACATTCTATACTTCAGTATATAACTCCTTCAAGAGCTAGCAACCTAGCGTAGTTTTTCTAGCTAACCCAAACTCAATAACTTACCTGTCAGACTAGTAAAAATACTAAAGACAAGCCTGCTGCAATAAATTACGGCGTATTATAAAGCCTACCGACACCCTTTATAACTTGCTTATGCATTAGTGTAAACCCAGTTTCATAGTTTCAAGTGTTGTGGTCAGTTTTAAATTCCCTCAGGATGTCACAGCATGTGTGTTTGCTGAATAGCCCTTTCCATCACCCACGATCTGAAAACTCCTCTAACTTTTTAGCTTTTGTAGCAACGTCTCGTGATTGTTAGCTGTATACAAAGCTGTCCACACTATAGTGTACACTTGTACAGAAACCTTGAAGAACAGGTATGCTGAAAAGCAACCATTGGAGGTAGAAGGTAGGTTACGCTTGAGGGTGTTATTAGTCAGAAAACTATAGCCAGCTTATAAGAAGAATGGCAAGTTGCTGTCACACTAAGACATTCTTGGTGTTGAATAGTACTACAAGCAATTTATTTAAACCAGCAGAGCAAGAATGAAGAAAAAAGAAAGGCATAAGGTTTTTATTTTCCCCCTCTCCATTGTCTCCCTATTACCCTCAGTCTCAGAGTTGCACATTTACACTCACAACACCACACGCACCTCAGAAGCAATCAGTCCCCTGCCTGTAGCTGCACTGTAATGTCTTGATGTCATTTAAATATTAGAACCAACAATATAGTTGTTTCTAATCAAACCCAACGGTGTCATTTTAGCGTGATTAGTGGGTCAATAGGTGCAAATGTGTTATTCAAGAAATCACTGACGGGACGATTGAGAGTGAGTCATACTAGAGACAAGATTGTTTCACAAAGAAATTCCTTTGCTGTAACTTTTGGTCAGCTTTTTGTGTTCAGGAAAATTATTCAGTATCATGCGAGTGAACTGTCTTCCAATGATCAGGTCATTTAATGATCCCTTTTTTGTGTGTGTCACGTGTCTACAGTCGTAGTTCCCCGCAACTTTCGACTGCTGGAGGAACTGGAGGAAGGTCAGAAGGGAGGTGGAGACGGTACAGTGAGCTGGGGCCTCGTGGATGATGATGACATGACGCTAACTCAGTGGAATGGCATGATCATCGGCCCCGCCAAGGTGAGCCACCCTCAGGGATTATCACACTCGAAATCATGCTTTTCTCTTCAGTTGCCCATTAAAGCTTTCAGCATTGCATCGGAATGTACCTGTAAGATGAAAAGCATCATCTAACATATGAGAGTTCAGAACTGTTAAGAGTTGATAGAAACCACTCCAATGTTGGCTGGTACAGTGTTGGGTTGTCCTTTAAATATGTCTGTAAACAATGCATTTGGGATTGTGTATGTTTATTGCATGCCACACTATGCAAAAGGATTCCAGCACATCTTGTTTGTTGGACTTAATATAATTTTTGAGGTTGTAAGAATGTGTGATAAACATCTAAGCACTTGCAGCACTACAGATTAAATAGAAAAAAACCACAGGCACATCATCGGTTCATGTCATCCATCATATTTTGAAAATACAACTTTACAAAGTGTTGCTTTTTGCCAATCACATCAACCTTTTTTCCATTTCTGTCTCCATGTGTTGTCTTTTTTCAACTTAAAAAATGGCACATTCAACATGTCGCCCTGTGCAGTTTAGTCTACGTCCTTCTGTTTTATGACGTATCCTGTTGGTTGCTTTGTGTGGGCGTTGTAGCAGCCTGTCATTGGTTACTAAAGCTCTAAACTGACTTTGGGTGACGTGTCTCAATGCGATGGAGAGTCACCGTTTTGGATTGACAACCACAGATTTTAGCATGTATTTTATGGCTGTGAAGGAGCTTATGTTTTAGACAGCTCTTACTTAACTCTTAAGAAACGCAAGCAGCGTGGTAAATATTCTTTTCTTTTATGTGCATGTACACAGCAGCTAGGGCAGAATAAACGAGGCTGCGTTTGTGTCACTGAGTCTTTGTCAGCTAATGACTGAGCAGCAAGAGAGTGTGGACGCTGTGGTGGTGGTTGCTGTTGAGGATGAGCTGCATTGAGGGAAACTTCAAAACAGACACATATCCGGTGCAATGACTTTGCAAAGCTCTTTGACAGGGATTATGCCACACATGCAGTTATAAATTAGACTAATGGATATTTTGTCAGTCAACAGTAAAGTAGTTAGATGAGCAAAGGGCGTTTGTCGCATTTTTGGTGAACCTCCCACAAGTCAATCTCTGTGACCGTCTTTATTGTGTCAGTGCAGCACAGTGCATGTACAGAATTTCAGCATATGCAGAGTATATATTGCAAAAAATTTGTAATGCAAAACCACCGCTTTGAACATTAGCATTTTGTAATTTAACAGCAAACAGTCTTAACCTTGCTGCTTTATTTTCTTATGTACTCTACGTGGACTTACATTAAATTTCAGCAAAACAACACCAGTGAAAGTCTGTCAGGACAATGAGCACCAGGATGTTTCCATAATGAATGTACTCTGGGCGACTGCGTGTCAGTTTGTGAAGATTCTGTTGCAGCATTTTCCAAGTGCTGAGGTGGCAGATGCATGTTTTGCTAAGAGCCATTATGGTTGGGGGTTGTGCTCCATTTGAAGCCACCTGTACGGTTCAGCTTACCCTCCAGAGAGTTGTGATGATGCTTCACTTCCTTGTGTGGTTTACACATAAGGAGAAGTGCATGCATGCACCAGCTAGTCTGTGTTTTTGCAGTATCGTTTGTGACGGCTTCGCTCCTTCACCATCTTGGTGAAGGGAGACATTTAATAGCATGTAAAGTAAAATGCAAAAATCCACCTCTGCTGTTCAGACAGAATGCAGTTGTCAGTGCTCTCTTTCACAGACCAACTGAAGAATGCCAGACTTTGTCCAGCTGTAGGATTACTGAAGACAAACATAGAACGTCTACTCAGTTTTAGTCCACTAAAAGTTTATTGCTAAGATCTAAACTCAGTTCTCATGTTCTGTGCCGTTCTCTTTTGTCAGGTTTCACTGAAGATGTAATGTTTGTAAATCACACATCTCATCAGGAGATGAAATGATCTCTGATCATGACGCTGTGGATGGTCGGTCTGTATGTTATATAGTCAGAACCTTTGGATCAAACATGTAGGGGAGCTTAAGTTCAGACTGTGTTGTTAACTGTTGTTTTTAATTGTTTATTCTGTTCTTATTGGCTTGTTTTATTTATTTTTAATGTATCGTCTTTTTCGGGGGATTGAACAGAGTAAGAATTTCATTGTGTAGTACAACTACCTGTTTTGCTGTGCATATGACAATAAAACTCTTGAATCTTGAATCTCTAACTGATGCCCTAATTGGTGACGGTTGATAAAGCTGACAAATTATTATCTTAAAATTAACGCTCTACCTGAATCACAGTTTATTAGTCCAATCACGGTTGTCCCCTAGAATGATTTGAATATTAATTCCTTTTTATCAGCCAGCATTAAATGTTGGGATTTGTCTGAATAATGAGCCAGACAGCACACATGTATTTCAGTTTATATCAAGCCTTTTTTTTCACTTTAAACAGTGTGTAAAATGAATAAACTAATGAAACTGTTTTAAATATACTAACAACATCGCCTCTATTTTCACTCCATCCGACTGGACCTCTAGTTTCCTTCTTTTAGGGCAGTGAATGCAGTACATAACACTAAAGCCTGTCCTATCAGACTCTATATGTCTGACTACAATAACTTCATTTCCCCTTTGAGCATGCAGTTCACAGTGGCTCCGGCTACATGCTGTTAATGTCACTCCTTACACACTTATTGCCCTGAGCCCAGCGTCACAAACATGTCACCCACAAAGCCAGGTTTGCTCCAAGAGAAGAACTTGATTGGGCCAATAATCGTCAGTCGCTAATTGCTGTCGTTTTATCGACTAGTCCAAGTTCTAAGGTCAAGAATTAATTGTCAAGCTCAGTCAGCAGATGTCAGTTGTTGGCAAAGATGTTTTGGGTTCCACACATCATCAGAGTGTCTCGGACTTGACCTGTTTGTTTTTCCTCAATTCCAGACCATCTATGAAGGCAGGATATACAGTCTGAAAATCGACTGTGGAAGCAGATACCCAGACCATCCTCCGCATGTCCGCTTTGTGAACAAGATCAACCTGACCGGCGTGAACAGTTCGACTGGTGTGGTGAGTATCCAGCCGGTACCACGCATCCATTTTTTCCTGGTTGATCAGCAGTCTTCAGTTGGGTCATTCATTCACGCTGTCATGTTCGTTCAGCAGGTAGAAATCAGTATTTCTTTTAAGCTGTATGCATAGATTCATTGATACCCGGAGGCTGATCAACTCGTTCAAAGACTTCACAACATATAGATGCTGTAGCTGGAGAATAGTGTGTTTTCAGTCAGCTGTCTGTGAAAACCACACGTTGTTGAACAGAAAGAGAAGTGTTAAAAGAAAAGGAAAAGCTGGATTTGCAGGGGGCTGGTGTCTCACACGTGTTTTAGACTTAGTGTGGATTCATACGTGTGATGGAATGAATGTTTGTCTTTTCTTTGAGACGGGCAGAAGCTTCTAACAAAGCTTTACACTTGTGTAATGTTGTTGGCAGTAGATTTTTATATGATTTAGTTTCTGCTTCATAATTCATCTTGTTGCTGATAAACTTTAACTGCTACTAGGTGATGGTTCGCTTGTGTCCATCACAGACTTTAGTTTGGGGTAGAAGTTGGTTATTTCTTTAGAAAAAAGAAAAGAGTCAGATGCGTTGGCCTTCACATTCGTCAGATTTGAACCCAGTTGAACACCTCTGAGAGATTTTGGACCCACCATCATCACAATCATTTGGCAGAATGTTGTTCATCCCTCCACTAGAGTTCTAGAGGGTTGAAGAATCAGTACCAAGGAGCAGTGAAGCTGTTCTGGCAGCATGCGGTGGCCCAACACCTTACGAAGACACTTTTATGTTGGTTTTCCTTTCATATGTCACCTCTCTGTATATTTCTCCCAAGTCATGTCTGAAACTGTTTGTAGATAAAATAATCAGATTGTAATAGCTGCTAATTCAGTCTGTTGAATACCAAACAAACCCAAGTCCCTCACGTTGAAGAAGCTTTCCTATAAATAAGCCTTAAACCAGCATTGCTTATTGATCTGCACCGTTGCACGCAGTGTTTTAAGAGCAGTTTCTATCACCACATTCTCTGAAAGGGGGAATCCAAGCAATTAAGTATTGCATTCGCTAAAATTGCGGAGGTGGACATACTCTGGCTTTTAGTCCCTAGCAAGGCTCATTTTCCAACAACTCTGGATCCTACAGTTTCCCAAACTCAGTCGTCTCTGTCAGTAGCTCCTCCCTGCCTCCATATTACTCACTTCTGTCCCTTTTGAATTTCGCTGTAATAATACTCTAAAGCCTCGACTGCCCCTTGTGGTGTTTAATTGGTTTTAAAACCCATAAACAATCAAAACCAGATGTGTATGAGCACAGAAAACATATCAGAGTGTTTCTGCTCCCCGACAACACGATGCAGTGTTTACAAGTGTAAAAGCAATATTTCTGAGGGAGCACTTCTGCTCAGAGGACTGTGATGAGCAGTTAATCCTCCCCATGCACACACAACTGCTCAACGCTTGCTCGCCAGAAAGTTGACTTTTAAGACTTTGGAGATGGGACAGTGGCTCAGGGAAAATAAAGCAGAATAAATTCTGTTTAAATAACAAAAATGGCCGCTAAGAGTGCCGTTAAAGTACTGGATCGAAAAGCAGTATTGGTAAGAGTTGTTCAAATCTGAACACCTGTCAATGTTTTCATACAAGATGAGAGAAAGTGTCCGAGATGTGGCATCAGTTGTCCATTATGATGTCTTACGCAGGGCTCCAGATTAACCAAAAAGTTTGCACATGAGACCCTTTTTTTTGAGAATATGTCAGTTAAATTCTACGTGTTTGCATTCGTGTGAGTGCAGGAAGCTACTGCGTTAGCCACAGTGGTGAAAGGTAGTACCTGTATTTCTTCCCTGGCTCGCCCAGTCTGTCCCTGATGTGTAAAACAAGCTGTTTAGCAGTCTGTAGCTGATCATTTTAAAAACAATATGAGTATAAAACAGACACCCGCACACTGTCTAACTTGCAATCATAAATTACTGGACTTTCATCAGGCAAATAGACGACTTGTCCATTTGCCAGATGAAGGTCTAGCGGCGACACGTTGCATTAATAAATTCACGATTGCAAGTTAGTGTGCAGGAGTCTGTTCTGTACCTGTTGGATGTGCTCGTCCCTCTCCGACACACCTGCCTCGTGTCATAGATGTGAAAAGAGTTTCCTTGTCTTTAAAAACAACATGAGGAAAGAGGAGGAGGAGGCTGGTGGAGCAGGAGACGCCCTGACATAGACACACCTGATGATCAGAGTGCAGATGCTGGCAGGAAGATACAGACTAAACCGGTGAAGAAAGTAAAGCAATGCATTCAATGACAGCGGCTAACGCAGTAGTAAGGCTGCAAAGTTAAATAAATATTAGGATTTTGTCCTCCCACCGTTATATGAACATGATCGATAAACATTTGTCCCACTCGTAAAAAACAGTTTCACACACCTGTCTGAGAGCATCAACCGTGCCGCGCTGTGAGGCATTTAGGGAACACCGGTTAACGGTTTGCTGTGTTTATCAATAGGTTTCCTGGCTTTATGCCTTTTCATATAGAACTCTGCATCATTGGAGCCTCTAATAATGTCCAGCTCAACATCCACCCCTCCTCTCCACCTCCTCTCTCCTCCAGGTGGACATAAAGGCAGTGACGTCGCTGTGCCGGTGGAAAAACTCCTACAACATCCGGACGGTGCTGCAGGAGCTCAGACAGCACATGATGATGAAAGAGAACAACAGGCTGTCCCAGCCGCCCGAGGGCCAGGTGTACAGCAACTGATCTCCTGCTGCTGCTATCCCTCCCTGTCACTCACTCTCACACAACCACGCACACACACAACATCGTACACACCTAACACTGACTCTGCCACTTTCGAAAAAGAAAAAAAAAAACAAAAAACACAACCGTCATTGGTATCCAAGACTCTCGACTCCCACTTCCTCCTCCAGGAGTCTTCCATTGGACAGAGAGAGGGAGGCGTAGGTGAACCTGACCTCCTCACCCAGTGCCCAGTCATCCAGTAAAGTTCACGGTGCAGACCAGACATTAAAAAACAAGAATACTGTACATCTTACTAATGTTATTTTTTATTTTCTTTGTGTTTCTATGTTCGGATTGTAAAATAACAAAATGACCTGATTGAGTGTATTCATAATGTGCGTGTTCTGGGTTCTTCACAAGTGGTGACAGTCAGTCCCTGTTATATGGGTATACACACACATATATATATATATCGGTGAGGAATTTGAATCCACTCACTGCTCAGAAAAACAAATCCACTTCTGTAACCCCAACTGAAATACGGCTGTTTAAAGGTTTGGGATAATTTGGAGTTGTTTTTCAACACAACAAACCTCAATATCTTGCAGTATGCTTAAAGATTTCCCTTATAAAGAAAAAAACAAACCCTTTGCTTGGTCTCCAGGCTGTGTTAGTCTCAAATTCCCCAGCTTCCGCAAAATCCCGACGATGTGAATTTGAGGGGCCTTCCTTAAGTGAGTGCATGTCCAGTACACGGGAATAAACTGCTACTAGACATTCAGCAACGTATCTATCAGCAGGGCACTGCTGGCTCATCACTCATGTTCTCAGACTTGTCTTCTGTGTGCCATATGGTTCATAGCGCTTTGTGATGGTGATTGATTATTAGCAGCCAGCGGGGAAGAGGGAAAGGAGGGGAGGGTGGGGGGTGGATATAGGTCCTTGTGCTTCTCTCTTTGGAGAACGTAGAGTTTGTGTGCTCGGCACCCTTTTCAGGATCACCACTGTACTGTGGCCTGTGTGGAACAGGAGGAGCTGTGATTTATGTTTGTTTGCTGTTTCTTTTTTCTCTGTTTTTTTGGGTTCTTGTTTAGTTTCCTTTGGTCTCTGGGCTGACCTGTGTATACTCCATGGAGTCGTCTCTCCTCTCATACGGTGAACCCCCCCAGTGAACGCAATGTACGGCTTTGGATGTTTATTTTATAATTGGGGGTTGAATCTAATCAGGGTGATGGTGACCTGTTGCATGGTTTTATTTGAATTAAACGTTATTACTTTTGCACATGTTCGTGTCGTCTCCAGACTGATTTCCGTTCGCTGCAAAAATAGTCGGTAAACACAAAAGGAATTAATTACCTTTTTGATGGATGTCTTGTTGTTGAACATGTATTTACTGTCCCCACAACCGCTGCTCCCTCCACTAGAACAAGAACAGCTCAGCTTGATGAGGAGAAAAGTGGGATTGATTTTTTTCTTCCCAGTTGGTTTTTACGTTTTAAAGTTATTAAAAACACTAAAACCTTCTTCTCAAGAAGCAGTGAACAGGTAAACAATGAGTCTGTCAGATTAAATGAATAACTACAAAGGGATTTACCCTTTGAGAAATTGTTTCCCAGCAGAAAAAACAAAAGGTTCAAGATGTACTTAAAGAACTTGTGAACCACACAATCCGCTGCCCTGCTGTCTGTGGTCAGCTTGTTCCTTCTGTTTTTGACTAAACATGGCTGCAGCATACATGTTTGTACCCAGGATGATGAAGCTTCTTTCGTTGTTTTGGTTGCCCTTGACAAAAAAAACTAAACTTTCAACCAACGTGAAGGACGTTTGGGTTTCATTTGTGCACTGAGGTCAGACGGCCTCAAAGGAAAGATTTAAGCGATGATTTGTTCTATTTGCTCATTTTTACAGTCAGGTTCACGAGGGTTTGGGACAGAAATGCCTGAGAAGCTGATTGCCTAAACAAAGATATTTCATGAACCGTTTCAGAATTGAAGCCATTGTTTGTCCCTAAATTTTCACAGACTCGATGAGCAGTTTCATTGAAGGGTGTGACCTGATTCCTCCTTATTCCTTCACCGATTCAGAGTTGAAGTGTTAAACTTGCACTTTGTCGCTGTTCATGGTAGCTGTGTGCAGTGCAAAGTGAAGGAGGTCATTAGGCTGTAAAAACGAGACCTTTCAGAGAGAGAAAGGAAAGTTAAGAGTGTCCACATCAGCAATTTGGTTCATTCTTTAAAAAAAAGAAGAAGAAATTCACTGGTCAGCTCTGCAAAACTAAAAGACCTGGAGGACAGCTCGAGTGGATGATCACAGAATTCTCTCCTTTCACATGAGTCGTGCACCATCGTCGGCATATACAGTGTTTTCTCATTTTGTCCATTTTGTTTTGTGAGCGCCTGAACAATCTGGAAGAAAAAAAAAAAACTCCTTAAAGCCTGTTTCAGAGCTGCACTTTCATTCTTGTGCCTAAATGAGAGAAAACCACCCAGCTGAGTGTTCAAGGCTCATCCATCACTTCGGCCAGCGTGGGTCGACACGCAGCGTTCGTCGCTGGTAACAAGATGCTCCTCTAAGGATAATCGCTCGCAGCATCCTCATTCAGCAGCTGTTGTTGCTTTGATTTGCCTCTTCTCTGCTCCGGGGAAGCGGGACAAAGAGTGGCACGTGACCTGAGCGTAGCGGAGAAAACACTGGTGGATCAATCACAGCGGGCGATCCAGCTGGGTGCCAGTGGCTCCCCCATACACAGAAACAGAGAAAGCAGATACAATCAGCTATCAGATCCAATGCTGTGGGAACTAAACAATCTCCTGAATGAACGCAGAGGGGAGCGAACACAGTGGATGGTGCCTTTTTCTATCCTAAATGAGTTAAATATGTGGATTTGAATGGAGGACTAAGGTTCTACAGATAAAAGAGGTGCTTTATGAGGTTAGATTAAATTTAAAAATATGAAATTGAAACAACCCTTTTACCATGTTTTATCCCAGTAATGTGATGTGTTCACTGAGCAGGACTATGCTAACCCTGTCAGAGTTCCTTCATCCAGTGTGTGTGTGTGCAGCCCTCAATCACCCTGATTGTATCAGCTGTGATGGAAAGGCCCTGCCGACCCTATCAAACAGTAAAAGAGAAGACAACACGGCGGGCCACTCAATCAGTATAATTGTATGTGAGGAGCTGCCATTCACCCCTGACGCTGCAGATATAACAAGTTGATTCATACCAGCTCAGCAACCAGTGGCTCTGCTCCGTCCCTGAACACCACCTAATACCTTTGTAATATTCACACATGTTCTGGGATAAATCTATCGCTGCCAATAATCATTTCACCAACGCAGCCAACAGAAAAACCCAGATTGGATTATTACTGTGAAAAATAAGGAGTCCCAAAAGATGTTTTTCTTTTTTTTTTGTTTGGAAAACCTGCCAGAACAACATGTTGCCTCGACTTTTCTGAGGAAGTGTTTTTTTCTTGTTGGAACAAAATCCACAAGAACAACTTCATACTAGCTTGTTTCTTAAGAATGTTTAGTATGTAGTGCTTCAGTAGGAAATACAATGTTTTACAGTGTTTAGTGATCCCACAGTGGAGAAAGGATAGTGCAAACATTTAGGAAATATAAGTTAAAAAATAAATAAAAATAAACCAAAAATATACATAAGTACTAGTTTAGATGATCTAAATTCCTCTGCATCTGGAAATAACAATATTCAATATATCACTGGTATTGCACAGATTCTTTAATGCGTAGTTAGTATTAGTATTAATATTGCACAGATGTGTTTGTAAGTCGTTCATTTCCACACATTCCTTTTTGCAGATGTTGAAATTTCCAGTGAAGTGAATTTATGCTCCTAAGGCAAAAAACAAAGGAGCGTTTTCTAGATAAAAACAAAGCAATTCTCAGTGCAGTGATACCAAACAGATTCTAATGAACAAGAAAAAAATTAAAATGCAGTCTGAACCAGATGTGTATGAAACTGGACCTGCATGTCCAGATGTGCTGAGCTGTTCTGCACAAGCACAAAGAAACAGGTGAAGCGAGCCGGAGAAACTGAGCGCAGCAGAGCAGAGACGCTTCCGTCTTTCATCTAGCACCATCAGCTCAGAGGAGGAACCTGTGGGACCCTGATACACCAGAGAAGGCTGTTAGAAGTGCATCTTTTTTGGCAGAAAGCCATTCCTCTGATGTGGAGACCGATGCAAGAGACTCACCTGTGCAAACAAACACAAGGAATTGAAGTGCAGAGAAATGTGTGAGTGCAAATATTATACACATGCAATACCATAAAGGAGGCTCCTGATGGTTCCCAGTTCATTCTGCTGCTGGACAAACATCCCCCCAGTCATAAAGAACAATCTGCAGCAACAAGAAGAACAAGGAGTCCTGCAGCAGATGAGACAGAGCACTGATCTCAGCATCAATCAGTCTGTAGAGCTAGAGCTATTTATAGCAACCAAGAAGTCAGTGTGTGTTGTGCAGCAGAGGAAAGTGCACTGATCTGCATGAAAACAAGGATTGTTGTTGTTTTTATATCATGGCAGGAAGCAGTTAGCTGGTAACTCCACCTGTCTTGCATAGGTCACTTAAAGACCCTCAGGGACCATAAAGAGACGGCCCACTTCCCGATACTCTAGCTGAGGTCATCGCTTCGCTGCCTCCTTGCTGACACTGCAGTCTTGTTGGAACCACCATCAAGCCAACCATCCAGAACTTCATCCATTGGACTACGCGGTACAGCTCAACAGTCATCAGAGACTATCAGTGAAAAGTAAAGTCTTTGGAAAAAGTCCACGCCTTTTACAATCTGTCGGTATTTGTTTGCCTCCTTTTGTTTTCATGTCAGCGGCCCTCAAGCTGCATCGACTCCACCGGTTTGTTGAGACGTAATAATTAATGTTATTCCATCACAATGTGACAAAAGAGCTTCTTTTCACGTCAGGAATCTTTCTCAGTCTTCAAGTTCTCCATAAATGTTGGGTAAGGTTGATGTCAGCTGACTGGAGGAAGGTCCACGACAGTCAGCACTCCTTGGTCTTCTTTGGTCTTCAAGTCAAAGCTTTGGGTTCTGTTTGGGTTCATTATCCTGCTGCAGTATGAATCTGTCTCTACATGTCTCCACATATCTCAGAATAATGGAGTGCTAATTCTCCTCGGTCAGGGTGGAGTCGTTTCACTGCAGGTGTCCAACTGCAGAGAAGCAGACCTGAATATTCCCAGCAGCAGCGTTGTTCAATGTGGGTTTGATCCACTGTAGGATCGTTTTTGTCATGGATGGGGCGAGTGAATGAGGTGCTGGAATGGGTTTGGTGGTTCGTGTCTTGGTTGCTTTGTTATAGAGTCAAGTGGTGGAGTTGTGATGAATCAGAGAAGCACAACCAAACAGGAAGTGAATGTCGGTACCTACGTCTTCATGTCTTGTCTGCACTGAAAACTGAATTTCTGAAAATCTGCACCCTGGAAGGAGTTTTTTCTTAAGCTTCATTTTTATGGACAGAAGGACAAAACAAATAGAAACAGTTATATTAATTAAAAAAAAAAAAAAACCTATCTGCATGTGGACGAGGCATAAACCCACCAGAACACGTTGTCCTTGTTTTCTGTCCTTACAAGTGGTTTCGAGAAGCTCCTTGACCTCTGAGACACAACTAGTTGGATTTCATCTGACAGGAGCTTTTCTTCTTTATTCTGTAAATTGTGTATCTGTGACGAAATTGTTTTTTTTTCTAATGTCTCAGTGAACAAGTCTTGATGCAAGATCTTGGTGTGCTCACTTTGATTCTGCTTTTGGACGTATTTATATATATACGTAGAGTGTATGGAACTTTCACTGCTTTTGCAGAGTATGGATCCATCCATCCATCCATCCATCCATCCATCCATCCATCCATCCATCCATCCATCCATCCATCCGTCCATCCATCCATCTGTCCAGAACCAGCACACACCCATCAGTAGGTACATCTTGTTTCCACAACTAAACACACCTTCACATATACCATATTTTAGGCCTTTAGTGTACAAACCTACTGGTTATGTATCCTACATTTCTGGACCGGTATCACATATGAGCCATGCATTTTATTCCTGTGAATAACTGAATTAACAGCCAGTGCAAACTTTTCTAAGCCTCCGATTTGCACCAGTGGTTCCTTGAAGCCGTGAGTCACAGGGAGGCCCATAACAAGGAGGAGCTGATAGACCAGTTTTTCCACCAGACTGGGACAACTGAACAGGTTTCATTTTCAGATTTCTTCTTCCTTCAGCCCTGATCTCTCC